GGCTCAAGTTCGGCCCTCACCCTGCTTCCTTGGGACTGATCTCCTTTTCGGATTTGTTGCAGGTGTCTTTCTCCAGATTCTGCCTTTTGCAGGTGTACCTCAGCTCCTGCAGACAGGTCTCCCTGTGCTTCCCTGGCAGCTCCTTCTCCTCAGCACAGCTTCCTAACAGGCTGATTAGGCACAGTGACTGCTTAATCTTTTTTTGTTGTTGTTGTTATGTAAATGTTCTCACTTGACAGCTCTAGACTGCTGGGATTTGTAGATGTCCTGTGCCCTGTCTGTGTGTCTGAAAATGTTCTCCTCCGGGCCTCGGGTACCCTTGGAGGAGAAAGACCTGGTGAGGGAAAACCTCCTGTGAAGCAGCCGTGCGTGTAGTGGCTAGAGTAGACAACTGGGAAGTGATTCCCTGGAGAAGAACGGAGCCCAGAAGTTGGGTCTTAGGTTGTTCATCCATCTCTGCCACTGCATCTTTGGGGTAACAGACTGAAGTGGTCAGACGATGAAAGGATTTTCTTACAAAAGAGTAAGAAATGCGCATCAATGTAAAACTGGTCACTCCCCACCCTGCTGGAGATTGCCAGGTTGTCATGAAGTAAAGCTGTCTGCATTTTGTTTTTTATTTCTGTTGGGTACACCTTTCTTTTATGTCACATTGTCCTGTGATAACAGGCCAAACTGTCATCATTTTCGTCTGTTATCCTCTGTACTCAGGCAGGGTTGTTTTTTGTTTTAACCTGCTCAGTTAGAGGTTCTTACAGCTGTGATAGTATTAATTGTGCATGGTCACTTCTGTCCATCCATTGTGCACGAGCAGTCCTGTCCCGGTGAATGGACTGCATGTTTGTATAAAATGAAGCAGTTTCATTTTTGCAGGTCCTTAACTCTCACAAATGATGCTAACACAATCATTCTTGTTTTCTATTAAAGTAAATCCCTAGACAAATCAAAACCTACCCAAAGAAATCCCAGTTCTCTCAACAGGCAGTTTCTTATCAGGCATATTCTGAAAAAAACTGGTATTAATGTTACTAGAATGACACTTAGCGCAGTATTTGCGGGGCAATAATGTTAAAGGTACTTGGGTTAAATGTAGTCTCACATGCAAAAAAAGCTGAACCGAGATGCAGAAATCGTATCATATAAAGGACTAATAAAGAGAAATAGATATTCACACCTTAGTTTGTGTATCAAACATGAGAAAGTTTTCTCCTGCTGCTTTTAAGCACTATCTCCTTAAGCATTTGCATTTTAAATTTTGCTGGAAAAGAGCTACATAGACTGCACTTTTCTGTCTGTGTAGATACTCATTGCTTCAGACTGCAGATAGAAGAATTGTTCAAATAGCAAGATTCTCTTTTTTTTGGCTGGAAAACAGTAAATGAATATTAGATGAGTGTTTGTAATATCCTGTACTTAAGTTTTAAGCATCAGCTATTGTTCAGGGCTAGACAGCTCTGTAACATAGCAGGAAAAGAGCTTAATGAAACCCAATATTTGGAAGCAGGAGGTAGATGAATTCAGACTTGGAACAGCAGTGCTAAATTTTAACAGGAAGGATAACTAACATTTGGAGTAATTTCTGTGGGTGTATGGCTTTATCACTTGAAGTCTTGAATGTGAACCCTTATGTTTTCTAAAGGATATACTGGTTTAGGCAAGTTACGGAAATTGCTCGTTGAATTTCATAGTTCATGAAAGGTGGGAAATAAGCCTAATGTCCCAGGCCTGGGATCCTGTGAGGTAGGTCAGATGTATTGCTGTGTTTCTGTTAGCTGCGAGGTGTACTTCCACTGTGCATTAAGAATAAACACCTTGACTCCACAGAGGGCTTGCAGAAATAATTTGGTTCTTTTGTGCAGAGGGAGGAGAAAGAATTTGCTTTGCAAGCTCTTGGTAAGGCAGGGATCTGAACCCATGTCATCTTTTCATCATTATTCTAATACAGTTAAGAATACTTTGCATTTTTAAGGTTCGGTGAGACTCCATGTAGGAGATGTGTTAAATTCCAGCCTTTGGCTGCTCTGCTGGACTCAAGAGAATTTTGTTTTTTCTGTCTCCTACCAGGAATAACTGTTGTTAGACCAGAGAAAGGTAGAAAAATTGCAGCTTCGTGGTCATTCCTTATGCATTTAGGTACTGGGTTGTTCCCTGCAAGTACCAAATCAACTCTGCCACTGATCTCTGGAATGAGAGTCAAATGCCTACGCTGTGCCAAAGGCCACCAGGCAATCAAGAAAGATTTAAAAAGGGGCTCTCTTGGGGGATGGGGTGGGGGGGCTTTTTCAAGTCACAGGTTGGGCTGTGTTCTGGTGCCGCCTGCAATGGGATGGGTGATCCTGCCGGAATGTGATCCATGATCCTCCAGGACCTGCAGCAGGAAACCCACCCAGCCTGACCTTTCCCTGCTCTCAGTTGTGGCGGCTGGCTGCTGCGGGCTGGTGCTCCCGGGGCTGGAGTGTGCTTTCTCTCTGTGAGTTGTGCTTGAGTTTGCCTGTTTTGTTGCCCTGGAGACAGAAGAGTGTGGTATGCTTTCCCCCTGACCAGAAATAGTTTCCTGTACCTTGTGACCAGAGCACTGTACTCCTCCTCTGGTCTCTGGCCAGGCTGTGTGGTGCTGGAGGGATGGGGTGTGGGGTGATGACCTCTTGTCACAAGTTCTGGTGTGGCTGCTGCCCATGATCACTAGCCGCCCTGCCCGTTCCCCTCCCTCGGCACGATGGTGTAGGATTTCAGGGGAGCAATTGCTCTTGATTTACATCTCCCATGGCATTTTGATGGTTATGTCATTTTGTTTGAGCCTTGCTCCTGTCAGCTGTCTGTCCTGGCTGTCGGGACTCGGTGGCTGAGTAGCACGTGGTAAGCTCTTACCTCTTCTTCCCCCTTTGCTCAGCTGTTTTTGCTGTCTGCTTCCCTGTGTCCTTGTACTTGAGAACAGATTCTCAGCAAGTGTAACTGCACACGAGGGCAATGTGATCCGGGTGGATGAAGGATCCCCTTCTGTAGGAGTTCCAAGTAGAGCTGGGAGGGTAAGTAGGGAATTTGCAAGACCCAGGCGTGCAAGCAGGCTATGGATATTTTATCTTAAACTGTTGTCCTGCTGTGAGAATCTGGCCGGAGTGCAGAGTATGCAGCACAGTCTATTACGTTGCAACTGTGTTTTGCAAAACTTAATTTGTGAGAGATGCTGCTAAAAGGGAAGCCAAGGCACCCTCACCCCTCCCCAGCAATGCAGGTGAGAAAGTGCTTGCACTGCACGAAGGCCTCAGGAGCGTGGAAGCTCTCCAGGCTTTCTTGCTGCCTGCTACTTTATTGGAGAGTGGTTCTGGCATAGAACCGTACAATATATGCAACAGCAACAAGAATTTCCAGGATTGAGAAGGAAGGAGAGATGAAAGGAGTAATTTACCTTCCCCCATCCCTGAACAGTAGCAGATGAGGATGTAAGCACATCTCGGCCCTATAAAATATTAATTGGGACATTTTCTACAGTTCAGCAGTGGGAAAGACAACAGAAATCCTGCAGTGCACTGAGCTGCTGTTCCCAGCCTGGGAGAGAAAAGTGTTCTGAGCTGAGCTCGGTCTCCGTCTTTTGCTCATGGGGAAGAGAACAGTTGCCCAAAGCCTTCCATTACAAAGGGAAGGGAAGAGCATGCAGAGACCATGGAGCTGCACAGGCTGTTCTCAGGCAGAACAGTGCAGTGTGGCTTTGTTGAAGTGGGTCTCCAGTGGGTTTCCTATAAATCGGAGGATGTTGCATTCCTACCAGTGATCTACTGAGTAGCCCAGCCAGCCAAGGGTCCTGCTTACTCCTGTGGAGAAGACTTGTGTGTCACAGGGGATGCAGAGAAGGTGTGTTTTCAAGCCTGTGTGCTGAAGATCTGCTACAGAAGGAATGTCAAGAGCAGGCAGGGACTGCTGCTTCCCCTTGCTATGTTCTTTAGATGGCTGGACTGGGGAGGAAGGGCAATCCTTGCTTTTTGCCTCTTTCTAGGCATCTGCATCCCCAAAAGTCTAGAGTTTAGCAGCTGCCAGGACTGCCTAAAAGATTTGCCTCCCTCAGATCCTTTCAGTAAAATCTGTGCTTGTCCAGTGTGAGCATTTCACTTGAGAGGATGGGGGCTTTGTAGTGCAAGTTCAGGACTTAGTCATTGCTGTAGTGAAAAATCTCCTGTCTGAGCCTCAGTGGCTAAGAGGCCCCCTGCTTCTTGGCTGAGACGGGCAGAGTTGCCCTAGTGCCCTCTCCTTTCCTTGCGCTCACGCATGTTGCATTTCTAGAGAGGACAAACCATTTTTTACTCTTTGATATTTTTTCTTTAATCCAGATGACAGTCATATTCAAACTGATGTTGCCTTTGGGCTGAAATAAGCATACTTAGCATTTGGGCAGAACTTCTCGCCTGGAGATCTCAAAGTGCTTGATCAGCATTTCACCAGCGAGTCCATCCCTGGGTACTGAAGTATGGTTACTTTTACGGTTCACTGGAGCTGGCAGAGTTCCCTGCTTCATGTGATGGCTGTGCACTAGCAGGAACTCTGTATTTCTCCCTCCTACTCTGCCCTTCTTCCCCGGTGTTCCTCTGGAGTGTAAGCAGGTCCTTTTCCCATTTCATGTGGGCTGTTTCTTCAGAGACATTTCCTCCTCCTCTCCAGCCTTGGAGAAGGGGGTAAGTCTCAGAAGGGATGTCACTGCAAGTGGCTTTGCGTGTTTGTGAGGCTGACAGACGAGTGGTGTCTTTGACTCTGCTGCTACTCACTTTGAATCCAAGGAGAGAATATCAGTTTAGTGCTAGCTCTGTAGAGGAAGCGGAGACCCTCCTGCAGCCTCAGCTGCATAGCCCTCACCTGAAACGGCTGTGAGGTTTTGGGAGACAGTTGTGTTCCAGCAATTCCCAGCCCTCTGGATGTTTGCTGGGTCACTGTGTTCCTTTCTCGGTTGAATATGAACAAGAGCTTAGTTCAGAGTTGTGGTGCTTAATGCCTTGTTTTTTATTCTCTTTCAGATCACCAGAAACTGGAACGTGAAGCTCGAATCTGCCGACTTCTAAAGCATCCAAATATTGGTAAACCTCCTTGGGCTCAGAGGGATGGGGGTGAGAGAGGAGTGATGTGTCTCATCTAGCGCGCTGTAAGAGAGCAGATGTATTCTGAATGTTCACGACAACTTGTCAAACTTGCCTGTTGAAATCACCCCAGTTTCTCTCTTTGACAAATTCTGCATATGACCCTGTCCCGTTCCTTAGCATCCTGGCCCAGGTGTTCACCAAAGTGTGCTGTGTTCCCATCTGCTTGCCTATGTAGAGCTGTCCCTGCTCCTTGGATGATGCACGACTCTTGTCTGCTCATCTGACATTCTGCAATGGGAGTGAGCTGTTGTGTTGTTTTCCCCACACCTGTCTTCTGTTTCCTCTTCTTGGCACTTTTTGACATATCTGTTTAAATGCTGTATTCAGTGACATGCCCAAAGGTAAAGGAGGGTGGGCTAATATGTCAGCTGCTCTTATTACAGTGGCCACTTAATCTAAAAACAGGAGACCAAAACCAAATTGCCCATTTTGGCAGTGGTCAAAAAAAAAAAAAAAAAAAAAAGTAATGGAGTAAAGGGAATAGTTTTGTCTGGAAATACAGGAAGAGGCAAAATAAGGCACAACTTCAAACCGAAACTACGTTATTTACTGAACTATAGAGAGAGGGCTTGGATTTTTATCTAGTTCTAAAGCACCATGGAAGTTTATCCTAAGTTTTCTTTTAGAGAAATTTCACATTGCTGGAAGTTGCTTTGAGCAAAAGATTTGGACCATTAATAATCCCCTTTTTAGGATCTTTAACTAAACAAAGCCCCTAGGATTCTAGCTAAGATCTAATTTGAGTTAATTTATTTAAGAAAACATTAAGAAATACCAAAGTGCCACCTTCAAACAGTGCCACTGTTACATATCCGTGTCTGGGAAACCTGTGATGCATTACATTTATCTTTCTTTTGCATAACCGTATCTGTCAGTGTAGATAACGTTTTAAGGGCATCTGTCTGCTCTCCTGACTTTCAGCTTCGTAATCACTTGCTCCTCCCCTCTGAAGACCTGGGACAGGAAAGGTGTCTTACAGCATACCCTGTGGACTAGCATCTGTAGCCTATTCCATATGTGATAAAGAAGCAATTTCCACAAGCTTGGGACCTCACAAAATGCAAAGCACCTTAGTAGCAGCTTTTCAGCAGAAGGAGCTTTGTTGCATCTGAGTGTAGTTGTGGAGGGAGCTATGGCACGAGGAGAGGAGCAGCGGCCACCTTCTACAGTAATTTGCACTGATGAATATATTGGCCGGTAAATTTATTGCTTGGCAATATTCAGAATGACTAAAACTCATTAGCTAGTGAGCAAGCTTCATTTGCCCCATAAGACTTGTTGCACTTAGTTTAGTAGGTGATGTAACTTTTTATTTTGGCCTTAACTTCAATTTCATCATCTCTCCTTTTTATCATTACTTACATCTTTTCTTGCCAGGCCTCTCACAGAGTAAATCTTTTATACACAAGAGGAAAACTACTTTTATAAGTAAACCGCACCGAAAACAGAAACATGTGACATTGCTGGTTCAATTCTACAGCTTCTATACTCATCTGTAATGAGTGGCAATGCTTGTCTCCTGTTGTATTGTGGTTTGGAAAAGACAGTTTGGGGGAATGTCAGTGGTTCTTGCATTTTTTACAGAGCATTTCTTGTCTTCCTAGAGAAAACAGTGTTTCTTTTAAGATAAAGAGACTAGGCATTCTAAACTCAACAGGTGGTCACAAATAGCAATAAAGGAATTAGGTTTTATGCCTACAACACAGAATCAAAGTGTGTTGAATAAGACCTCAGGAAGTCATATGGTCCATTCAGCAGTCCTGTGACAACCTTTTATACCTGGCTGGTTCCAGGCATGTTTGTTCTTACAAACCTTTAATGCTTCCACAGCCCCTAGTGGCAATCTTTCAAATGTTTAATTTTTCTGTCAGTTAGACATTAGAAAAAACATACTGTGCTGCTATCTTAGCTTGTTGTTTCTAGTTCTATCGGGAGTATATGTGGAAAGTAGTTTTTCTTTCTTGTAACAATCTTTTACATATTTGAAGACTGTTATCATGTCTCTTTTTAGTCTTCTTTTTCTTCAGACTAAACAAAACAAACCCAGTTCTTTCAATCTTTTCTCATATGTCATGTTTTCTAGACCTCCAGTTTTTTTGTTTTTTTTTTTCCCCTCTCTTCTTTCCCTTCCCTGGACTCTCTCCAGTTGCTTCATATCTTTCTAGAAATGTGATGACCAAAACAGGACATGAAATTGTAACTTGGGCCATGTCAGTGCTGACTAGTGGGGGAAGACTTGCTTCACCTGTCCTACCAAAGATACTCGTTTTGTACATCAGCCTGGGAAACTTGCCATTTAAACATCATTGATGCACATTTGTTTTCTGACGCATTATTGCTCCAGACTATTTTCTGCAGAACTTCTGGCAAGCAAATAATTTTTCCATCTTGTATGGATGAGGATTCCTATCGAAGTGTATATTACATTTGTCTTTATTACAGCAAATAGAAAGAAATCCACTCTGTAGGTTCCCCCCAAAATTTGTCAAGACCATTTTGATTTATCTTCTGATAGTATAACAGGGTTGCAACCCCCCCCCCCCCCACAGTAACATGATCTTTAATAAAAATGCCATATATTGCATCAAGTAGATAATTAATAACACTATTGAATACCATTGGACTCTGGACAAACTCTTGAAGATATCACTTGATACACTGTTTCTGTTTGACAGTGATCAATTTTGAGTATGTTTTTTCAATGAGTTGTATACACCATTGTAAGCTAGTTCTGAACACACATTTTTTCTAAATTGCTTATGGAAATGGCATGTAAGATGCTGTCAGAAACCTTGCTGAAGTCCAGATGCTGCATGCATTGCTGCTTCCATATTCCTTGGACTTGTTATGTTGTCATAGCAGGGAAACATGTTGTTCTGACATAGCGGTAGGTTTTTTTTCCTTGAAACGTGTATTAACAGTTAGTAATCACCTAGTTACTGCCATTCTATGTTGTAAACTCTTCTGGATGAATACTTGGTTTGTTGCCTCAGTGTGAGCTATGCTAGTAACACTGCACCAATCCTGAAGAATTCTGCTTGCTTTAATTTCCCTATTAAGTTGTGTTGTTACTGTTTTTATTGCGAACTGCGTTGCAGCATGTCCTGCTCTTCTACAGTGACCTGAGCCTCGAGTGAGTCCGGGACAGAGGATTGAAAGTTAGGACTCTGCGAGGTGGGCTGCTTTTCTTTCCTGCCTGTACACAGGATATAAAGCAAACTTGTTGAATTTGTGGTTCTTATCCATTTGCTGCAAAACAGTTGATTCTGCTGTGGAGATTCTGGACTGCAACACACTGACCATAACGCTGCTACTATGATAAAATAAAGGTTACTCTAGGTACAAAATAATGGTGATATTTCCATTTGCTGTTGCTTTTTGTGAAATGACCACTTTCTGAGTTACCCTAACATTCCTTCATCAAATCGCAGCCCTAATTATAGGCTATTGCTCTGTAATTGGGTGTTTTGCTTGTTTTGAGATGCACATTATGGCCAAGGTAATCACAGTGGAGTAATCCTTCTAGGAGTTTAGTGTTGCAGTAACATTTTTTGTCTGGACAGAAGAAAGTTGACTTGAGGCAATTTTCTGACTTCCTACTCATGGTATGTACCATGTTCTCATTGCGAACCATCCATTTGAATGTGACGTTATAGCTGGTCACGTCAGACTTCAGTTCAGTAGAGGAAGGACTTCTTCCCGTAACTTTCAACTTGTTTTTTTTCTCCTGACAACTTTCTAGAGTATTTTGCATTCTGGTCCAGAGAAACCATTTGCCAGCCATGCTCACCAAATACAGCAGAATTGGACAGAGATCAATCAGTGATCTGTTGACTCCATCCTGCTTTAAAGGCAAAAAAGTTGTACCCATTACTGAGGATATGGGAGTGTTAAAGAGAGGCAGAAGGCAACATCATTAAAACCCCATTGTCTGTAAGCAGATAAAATGCCTGTGGAAGTTGGCAGGAGTCATGGCTCTATGGGGAATTCCACTTCTTGAACAACTTACTGTTCCAGCGATTCACTTATCTATAAATCTTGTGGGCATTTGACATGGATGTATTTGGGAGCACGTAGAAGAGAATGATACGGCTCTCTTCTCCCTTCCTCCCTGCTTTGCAAGAAAGAAGCAAGTTTCTATAAGTACACTCATAGCCCTGACTCTTCATTTGCAGACACTTTCCTGATAGTGCCACTGAAGCTTCTGCAATGGCTAAGATAAAATAAACATCACCATTGCCTTCTGTTTGTTATAGAGCTAAACTTGCAATGTGTTGCATATTGACTCTTGCTTACTGGACAACTCTTTTGGTCTTCTGCGTAGTTGTAAACTTAATTTCAGTCAGTGATATTTAAGTCCTGTAATTAATTCACTACATAGGGATTCTCTTGTGGAGAGTTCAGTTTTTTCCCATGCTTCCTGCTACCCATCAAATATTAGAGCAGTGACAGAGCTGGGAACCCTGGTGTCTTCCTGCAGGCTTGTTCAGTGTGGATGTGAAGTTGAGCACAGTGCTGGACGTGACCTTTCCTGTCCTAAGACTCCCAAAGCAATAATGATGCAAAAATTGATAAAAATCCTCTTTCATAGTTTTGAAAACTCTTCTCTAGCGTTCCTGTGTTGTCCTACAAGAGTAGGATTGTGGCTTGTTCAGTGCACCATGAAGTCTGCTCTGTGCGTGGATTTTGTCCACTGTGTTGTTAGGTGTTGCCCTTCTCCTTCTAAATTTTCTTTGTTACGCCAGTCTAAATATGTGCCTCCTCTTTGAATCTGTCACCAGATGATCTGTACTCTTTCTTAGATATTTTTAACCCAACTGTACAAAAGTAGTTCTTGAATATCTTTTGTTCATAGTTCAAACTGAGCACTTCTGGTCAGTTATTGTGTCCCAGCTCATGGCAGCCTTTGCTGTGAAGAACTGCGTGCACTTAGGTCT